TCATGAAAAAGAGGTCAAAGTAAAATCATTAACTGACAAGGGGCCATTCAGCCCCAAAAGAGATATTACAAGTTCAATGAATAAAAGCTTATTTGAAAAGAAAAGGTTCAGCAACAATGAATTTTCAACTTCGTTGTGAGGGGTCACCCTGCCCCATGTCTGCCAAAGGCCACCCAAGCTCACAGTGTGAATATACACAACTCCGCAGGCTCAGGGACGGTTCGTGCAGTGGCTTTCAGACATAGGGGCAAAGGCAGGACATCCCTGAGAATGACAGACCCTGATGCCAAGGGCACGGCTCTCTAATCTCATGAAGCTCGGCCGTTCCAGTGAAGCTCTGTTTCCACCAGCTCAGACCACATCCTTACGTCCTCCTTGGTCCTTTGTTTTTCTGGGTGGCTCCAAGGTGAGCGAATTCATAGCTCATTTTAGGACTCACCAGAAAACATAACACCACGATTTAATACTAATTTCTAGAGATGCAGTGGCACAGATCGGATGGCCCGACAGAGCAGCTCCCCTTCAGATTTGAGATACGGGCCTGTTTTTCAGTGGGACAAGGTTTATTTCAGCGAGGGCTGAAGATTTCTGCCTCAGGCAAAATGACACGAGAAGCTGCAAAAATAACCGCCGAGGAAAAATCAGCTCCAGAGCAGGCTTCACACAGTGACGTTCATTTGCTCGCTTTCAACGAGTCGCTCAGCAGGCTGCAAAGGAAGTCCCTGCGTTCATCCAGGAGGGCGGTGGGTCCTGTCTCGGACTCCATTCAGGTGCGATGCGACCCGTGGGTCCCCCGTTTAGACTGCGGGTTTCTCCTTCTCGGCACAGCTAGCGCCCCGCTGACGGTCCCACGCAGCTCCTTCCTGGCATCGGCCTCACGAATGACGGGACTGCCAGCATCTCCCTGAAAGGTCAAAACGTAAGAGGGGTGGGTAGTATTGCCCGGTCGTCATCAGCACAAGCCGCGCAAAATCACAGGCTGGACAGCTGTGGAGCAGGATCAGGAAGGGCAAGGAAAATGAAGCGCGGTGGAAACCTACACATGTTAAGCCACACGTGATTCCACAGCCCGTTGCGGGACTATGCGAATTGCAGGCCCTCTTCCTGCCTGCATATGTGTGGGGCAGCGCCCAAAGCAATCTGGAGGACTGTGGATTTGGGGGGGCGGCCTCCTTCTACCTGCCGGGACATGGTGCACGGAAGGAGTGACGGCAGCTTCAGCAGGTACATCAGGGAACCTATCCCCACCGAAGTCACTATTAAAAGGATGCTACATCGGCAATGTCAACGGGAAAAATTTAAGGGAGGTGCCAGGGGGCATCTTCCTCACACGAGCTGCGTCCGCAGAAACAATTCTGATGCCAAGGGCTTTGGCAGCAGCACGTCAGACACTCACTTTGCGTGAATCGGTCTGTCTGCCGCTCTCCATCTCCAGCAGAGAACACGTCGTCGATCACGGTCTGATGCTCGTCATTTCTCTGATGAACGTTCTGGGAGATCAAGTGCCCGGTCGGTGTCTTCGGGACCCTGGAGCAGTCAACCCCAGCTGCAAAGAAGAGACGTGGCCTTCATGCGAGACCCTTCCCGGGGCCCTCTGAGGCGGACCGTCTACTGCATGGGGGAAGACAAAGGAAGAACGTCGGCCTCTACCCCACCAAATGATTTCGTGCTCAACATTGCGCTCCCAAATTTAACTCAGACAGATGGCCCCCAGCAAACAACAAAGTTCGGTAAAACTGCATGCACATTGAGAACCGAAGGGAAGGGTTTTCTCAGGCGGCTCTAGCTACAGGAGAACGACGCTGCCACAGGCCATCAAGCCGCCGTTTACATGAAGAGAGAGATGGAAAATGGGTGTACTTACCCCTGCGTTCTCTTCCATAGCCAGAAAGTTCGCACCGGAAATTATCTCTCAGCGACAGTCCTTGAGATGGCAAACAGAAGATTTTGACGGCGTGGGTCCCTCAGGCACGCTGACCAAAGGAAGATCCGATCTATACGAAGGCTAAAAGTGTCATAAAGAGGGAATGCCAAGTCAGCTTTCCAATGTGGACTCTGATCAGAACAACAGCATCTGTTTAAAACTGGCCATTCCAACTCTTTTTCAAGAGAATGACACGCGTGTGAGTGTTTGCTCCCCTCTATCCATTTTGCCCCTTCCCGGGGTTCCTCCCAAAAACGACTGGGACCGCCACAAAAGTGCAAGCCACAAGAATTGCTCAGCTTATTCTCTCTCCAGTACAGAAAATATTCATCATACTAGAAGTGTGTTACGTAATAGTTCATACTACTAAAAAAGGGATCAATGTCAAGGATTACTGGTGAGAAAAAGGCTTCCCACATACAACCTCCTCTCCCCACTGGAGCCGCCTTGGAAGGCACTTGCAGGGAGGAAAGGGGATGGGAGACCTCCCCCCCCCCGGGGGGGTGTCACCTTCCCTATATCTGAGTCCCCTCGTTATTTCAGAGGAGAGATGGGATGGTATAAATGAGACTTTTCAGTTCTTCTCTGCTTGAACAAGTGCAGGAAATCGAATGCTGCATGTGCCAACGGGGAAGCGGGCATTCTGGCCCTGAAACGGGGCTCGATCCCCCATCAATCCCTCGATCCCTGGGGAGCCAGGGTGGTGTAGTGGTTAAGAGCATGGGACTGGGACTCGGGACGACCTGGGTTCTAGTCCCCACTCAGCCATGGAGCCAACCGGGTGACCTTGGGCCAGTCACAGACTCTCAGCCCAACCTACCTCAAAGGGTTGTTGTTGTGGGGATAAGATGGAGGAGGAGATGTAAGCTGCCTTGAGCCCTTGTAGGAAAAAGGCAGGATATAAATCGAAAAATAATAAAAATAAAAATCAATCAATTCCTCCGGGAACGGCCCCGCACTGCCTCAACGGGCATCCT